GCCACCTCCGGTGACTTTCTTCGTGTATGGCACATTTCTAGCAATTGGGTCGAGTTCAAGAGCCTCCTCAACAGCAACAAAAACAAAGAGTTTTGCGGCCCACTCACCTCCTCTGATTGGAACAAAGCCGAGCCGAAAATAATTGGGACTTTGGGCATCGACACCACTTGAACTATTTGGGATATCGAGAAGGAAACCCTAATACCCAGTTAATCGCGCATGATAAGGAGGTTTGCAATATTGCCTAGGGAGGCATTGGAGTTTTTGCTTCAGTTTCCGTAGATGGATCCATCAGGGTTTTTGATTTACGCGACAAGGAGCACTCGACTATCATCTATGAAAGTTTTGAGCCTGACATGCCACTTGTGCGGTTGGGGTGGAACAAGCAGGACCCAAGGTACATGGCAACCATAGTCATGGGCAGTTTTAAGGTGGTGGTTCTAGGCATCTGGTTTCTGATGCTGGTGGTGGTGGAGTTGCAGAGGCACCAGGCTAGTGTTAATGCAAAGCTTGGGTGCCACATAGTAGTTGTCATATATATATGGCTGGAGATGATTCTCAGGATATGGGATCTTTCATCGATGGGTCAGCCAGTGGAGGGTGGATTTGATCCAATTCTGGCATATACAGCCAGGGTGGTGATTGAGCAACTGCAGTGGTCGTCGACTTAGCCGGATTGGGTTGCGATTGCTTTCTCGACTAAGCTGTAGATACTCAGGGTTTGAAAGCTTGGGTGGAGTCTGATATTAAAGATTATGGGGTTTGATTCATTGCCCTTTTTTGCTTCTTGTTATCATCTTTCAAAAATATGATGTGTCTTTTTTTCCCCTTAGTGACGGGTTATTAGTTATTACCATCTCTGACTTTAGTGGTGCTAGCATAGTAACATGGGTCGGTCGGTTGTAGACTTGTAGTCTGTAAATTGGGTTGTTGATTTCTTCGATTTCTTCCCTTAATTTTCTTTTGTTTTCATATTTAATAGTTCTGAAAGTAGGAATCTTCACCTATTTCAAGGTTTCAAGCCGAAATTCGGTATTTCTATCATTAATGGTATAAAACATGGGTTGAATGACAAAAAAAATGTTTAGTTCGTGCATTTACTTTCTGGTGATGATTTGTTTTTTTCCCATTTTCTTTAGCGCTTGAGATTGAGGATGTTGTCAAGTTGTATAGAAGGAAAGAAGCCATTCAACTTAATGCTTGCATCATTTGGCAACGTGGATTAGGAGCTGCCTGTTGTTGGGCTTCATCACTTGGTATTGGTACATTATTTGCCTACAATGATGTCAACAACAATGAAAGCAAGCAATTATTGAAACTTCTTTATTCCTTTGGTCAATTATTAATTAATACCTAAAGTAAACCAATCCACTAAGCTTCTAAATTGGAGATTGTAGAACATTTGAAGGTATCTTTGTTTGGCTTGCTTTAGTTCTTCGTTCAACTGTCTCCGGAAGCTGTAGGTGGATCCCATGTTCAACACTTTGTTTGCATAAATCTTCCATGTGCAGCTACAAAAGATTCATCAAAGAATACATGAAATATCAGAAAAGAAATAAATGAAAATAAGCTATAAACAGTGTATGATTACATGCAATTTATGTTTGTTAATGATTTTTGGTTTGTGCATTATGGTAAACAAAAAGTATTAGGCTCTTCTAGTTACCATTCATATATGCATTGAGAAGATAATGGGATTTTTCCTGTCCGCCAAAAACCCACTGTTCCAAGAACGGTTCAGATATTAGAAACTTCATGATATGATATCAGTTTTTCCTTTTCTTTTGCTTTACTATATAGTGCACAAATGAAAATTTTCAAATTTGCAGTTAGGTCATGCGTAAGTAGTAAATGCATAAAGTCATATTTAATTTTAGTATGGTCAAGTCATGCTAGACAAGGCATGTCATATTTTGGTATCTTAGTGTTTGCCCCATACTAACATGTACGTGTACATATACATTAAGCTCACATATATATTAATTATGAATATAAAATAGAAAAACAATAGCTATTAGGCAAAAAGTTTAATGTACTGACAACATACTCCATGTGTTGTTGGAATTAAGGTAACTGAAATACTTTTTGTAGTGTACCATATGTATCAATCCAGCATCTTAATTGATGAAAACCACCCATGCAACTCAATCAAACTTCCATATAAACACATCAGAAAGGTGCTGAGCTTGTTCTTTGAAGCTGATACTTTGGCTCAGGAGGTGGTGCATATGGCAATATCTTTTCTAGTTCCTTCTATTTTTTTAAGCCTTTCATTCTCCTCTTCTAGACGTGAAACCTTGTTCTCAACCTCATTGGTGTATGCTTACTTCCTAGCTAATGACTGGGCTGCAAAATCCCTCTTCTAGCTGTGTTATTGTTTGATTAATTGTTCCCATTTATAGATTTTCTCTCTCTTCTTTACCTTACTCTTAAAAATTTCCAGTTAAATAAAATATGATTTTGGTCTGCAACTTCTATTGCTGGCTTCAAATGGTTGAGGTTAAGCCTCGGTTGAGTTGATTTGTGTAAACTCTATTCAACATGAGAGTCCAATCCATCATCATTTACTAATTTGAACTAGCATTGATGAATGGTTATTTCAAAAGAACTTGTTCAACTAAAATTTCCTCATCTGAACAAGGACATATATAACCTGCTTTAAATTTTGGAAAAACTAGATCCAATTGGTAGACATAAATTGTTCCCCAAAAATAAAAGATACAGAGATCAGTTCTTAAGGTTGTTCAGCATTAGTTTCTTTCATCATCATATAAGCCTTATGTTTTGTTCTTTTTAATAGGCCTTGCTTTAGGTTTCTTGTGATTTTGTAGTTCAAATTGATGGGAAGCTCTCCCTCCCCTTTTAATAGCAAATTTTCTTATCATCATTTAATTAAATCTTATACATAACTGAATTCCATAATCCAAAACCACAACACATTTTTTTTTGTAGTTTGCAATTGATGGAGCCACAATTGACCAAACAAGGCTTCTAGATATTATTATTATTATGATGACGATGACTTAAAAGAAGGGTTATTAGGTGAAACTCCCCTTCACTTTTTTGAAATTCTCTTTGAGTAGGACTTGGTTTTTCTTTACCTCCACAGACCCCCCGTTAGATATTTTATTTATATGTACCTTCTGTCAAGTCCAAAATACCCACATGTGCCATTATTATTTTTTAATAACAAAACTGACCCTTACCAAACTAATTTTGATATAACAAAAATGCCCCTAATTTATTCTTCTCTCCTATTTCATGTTCACTCATCTCACAACCCACGAGAGGAGTTCAATTCATCAACCAATGGTTCAATTCAAGTGAATGGATGAGTCTAAATTCATGATTTTGGTTCAAAGAAAAGAGTTTCATAGGTGTGGTTTTTAATGGCAAACGTTTGACATAGGGTCACTGCCTCATTGGAAAAGTTGGTGGAGTCCAAACTCGTAATTTACATGTTTGGATAGTCAATATGCACCATGTTTTAAAAAGAATTTGACCAAGAATAAGATATGATAATTTAGGCCCTATTTAGGAGGGTTTTTAAAATGAATGTTCCCAACATTGATGTGGGATTACCAAATTTTCACCAAACATAAGAGTTCACATTGGCCGGCACTGCACATCACAATTGTGTATTGGGAACATCTTTCAATGATAATATGGAAGATGTTTTTTTTTTGATGAATATGATAATATGGAAGATGTTCCCAATGCATGATGAGATGTGCATGTGGGGATTGATCTCCATACATAACTTAAGGTTTTTTTTTTTATATTTTTTTATTTTTTTTATGTGGGACCTATTTCAAGGGGCTGCCTAAAAGTCCTCCCAAAGAGACACTCAGTTGGGTTAATATTTGTTTCAGGTATGAATCTCATCATAAGAGTTGGATTTAAAGACCAAGATACCTTAGTAAAAAAATTTCAGAATGAATCTCTCTCTAAAAATTTCTTCCCTAGGTAATTTCCTTATGACTGTCCTATTTTATTTGATTATATAGGACAATCCATTCTTGGCCTTGCCAAGTTTTCGTTGGTTAATCTGACCTAATTTTGGACCAGTTTGGGTCAAATTTTGGTTTGATATTTCAGATTGACCTGAATTTGATTCTACATATTGTCATTACCCTGTACACTGTAAAGGTTTTATATTTCATGAAAATTTCTGGATGCAGCACTATTTCCTCTAGCTATGATTGCATTAAAGGTCATACAATTCCTAGTTTTCCACCTTAATTAACATTTTCTTCACCAAATTTTCTTTGGACTTCCCTCTTGCTTTTTGTTGCTTTTATAGATTATTTTCATAAAAACTATAGTGCCTTAATATTCAGTTTTTGGGTAATGTAGAAACCTTGCTTTTGCCTAAGGTTGAGTTTGTTTAGCATCTTCTTTAATTTGCTACAAAGAATACTAAATTTGTTTTTAAGTGCTGACCATTAAAGCAATCCATCGTATGGAGGTGATCTGTTAATGGATTGTTTACATTTGATTTTAAGGTGTGTATCTGGTAGAAAAAAAATGGAGTGCTTTGTTAGGTCACAGATTGAAAAGCATAGAGGAGCGATTCCAAAGGAGAATAACTGTTCCACCCTGATGAGGAACTACAACAAGATGAATATCACTAAACTCATTTTATGGTTCTTTGAATGGGAAACCGGTTTATTACTTTTACCTTTATCTATACAGGACGAATAGCACTAGAAAGCCATCTGTTGAATCTAAAAAGAAATAATTTTAAGTAAAACCATATACACTAGCCATAAAAGAAATATTCACAAACTGTCAACTGTAAACTGTCTTACTAGTATACTTGTTGGCTTGCAAAAACTGGCAGATCTAAGAGATTGAGTCGTTCCCCAGTCTTGAGTGAATCATTTCCTTTTCCTAATATGTATTATTGGACTACAGGAGCACTTGAACCATGGATTGGTGTTAGGAGATGATTTTTTCTCTTTCTGGAAATGGGTTCTAGTAGACCTGAGTAAATATAATGCAATTCATCTTTGCAGGAACTAGTTGAATGGAATAATCGCTATAGGCAGAAGTTTGGACTTGTTTTTCTTATATGTGCATCCGAGAGAAGTACACCTGAAATACTTGAAGAATTGAAGGTAAGATCTGAACTATTTTTGTTTTTTTTTCCATTTCTTTTCTATTTGTGTTAACACAAAATAAACTTTTCTAGAACCTGATAAGATGGTAATTTGCAGTGTTTAGAAAACCAGACTGGACTGGTTGGGTGGACCAGTTGAATTGTGACCTAGGCCCTTGATCAGTTTTGTCATACCCTGAAAACCATAATTCATGAAAAACAGGCCAAAACTGGCTAACCTGCCGGTTTAACCAAAAAATTGGTGAATAGGTCTCAGTTTTATAAAACCGCTTGGGTCATTACATGAATAGAAAATTCAAAAGGGTAATGGCAAGACTTGAATACAGATGACATCTATCTGAAATTTGAATTGTCAAAGATGTGTTACATTCATCACTTCAAAGTATACATCTCACTCAGAATGCCCTTTTGCAACCTTTTGCTCATAGCAAAAATGTTCTTTTTTTTTGATGAATGCTCATGGCAAAAATGTTAATCTTAAGGAGAATTGCTGGATGACCTACACATACTTCAAAGCCAGATATCATATTTTCTACTCTGTCTTCTTGTTTTCTTTTTATTGTTTGTTCTTTCTGTTAGTTTACATGATTCTGTAGTTTATAATTCTAAGTCGCTTTTCTACCTGGCTTTGTCAAAGAAACGGTACCCAAACAGACCCATAGTTGAGTTTGAGATTGCAGCACAGGAGGAGATGAAGATAATTGAACTGCGTCTTGCCAAACTGTTTGCAGCTAAAGCAGAAGTCACTTCTCCTATGGGTACTCAGTATTACGTCTCTCAGTGACAAAAGCAGGAGGTATCTTTTATATAACACTGTCTTCTTTTTTAATCAAGTAAACTGTTTATACTTGTTAACAAATGTCTGTTTTCTTGTTCCATTAATGTTCCTTTTCATCTCCATGCTATTCCCCTTGGTTTTTTTTGGTTAACTTTGTTGCATGTGTGTGCTTATTTTTTTTTGTGCAACAAATTATTGTCTCTATTTTGTCAAACATTATTGATCTGTTGGTCTTTGATGCAATAATCTTATGATAATGTCTTGAATTGGCCCATTTATAAATATAGATTATCATGTGGTATGTCAATAATCCAGGACATTTTAATGGTCGGATGTACTAACATGGATCATGTTCCTCCTCATCTAAGCCTTGTCCCAACTTTGGTATCGGGTACATGAATCCTGTTTTACCATTCCGTTCCATTCAGCATCATATCCATTTTTAAATTATAAGCCCTTAAACCATTCTTACTACTTCAGCCCATTTACTTTTTGGTAGCTCTCCTAGCCCCTTCAAACAGATCACTTTTTTTTAGGAGTGCTATAGATGGTCTTCTCTGTATGTGACTGAACCATCTTAGTCTGCTTTCCCTATTAATCCAGGACATTTTACAAAATTGTCATTGGCTCAAGTTTCATACAAGTAATTTTTAATTTATTTTGTTCATCAAATACAATATTTTATTTTATTTTATTTAATTTTTATTTATACTATTCAATATCCGATTGCAACCCAAATTCAATTTGAATATAATAAAAATCTGATGGATAAATCTGGTTGGAATATGAACATAAATGGATCAAATTTGGATCTACTTATATCTGATATGATTCCATCTGTTTGCAGCCCTAGACTTGATGAGTTGCCTGAGTGGCAATCATTGGCATTTAAGGGTTTCCACAATGACCTTTAACTGAAAAAGAGAGATAATTGCACAAAAGATCTGTGACATCCCTCTCGCACTGTCATCCAACTTGTATGATTCATTAGTAGATTCATGTTAAGCTACGTATGGGAATGCATGGAAGTTCACTCTATGTTTGCAAAAAGGATATATGCATATGAGGCAAAATACAATATCATTTTGAAAAATAGTGTAGTGTAACTTTTGAAAGTAAAAAATTTGGTGCATTTTGTCCAAGGTTGATGTTTTGTTCTTCAACTTGTGGAAGATCGTGTAAGAATAATTGGAGAATATCTGACTGTTGCTTCTGAAGTTCATGGTGGTAAAGCATCTCAAACCTCAGCTAGAACTCGCCCTCCCATCACAACACATGTCCTGGAGGTCTCTCGTGGATCCCCAGCTGCTGGCATTGAGGTACAGTTGGAGATGTGGGACCATTTTACCTTTTTGTAGAATGAGAAGAAATTGAGCAGAATGGACACCTTAATAAAGAAATAATCATCACACCATTTCATGAACCTGGGGTAGAAAGTGGGATCAAACTTATCACAAGCACTATTTTGAACCTACAAGAAGAAAAATAAAGCTCAGATCAGTCCTTGATCATCCAATTCCATAATAGCAAGGTTATGTGAAGGGAGGGGCTATGCTAGCTATCCAATTACAGTAAGGACAAAGCTGGATAGGATTTACATGATATGACACTCTTTTATAGGTATTCATTACTACTGAAAAGTCCTTAACAGCCAAATGTTTTTTCCAGTCATTGCTAAAACTTTTGTAGAAGGCAGCATACTCTTCCTTGGTGATTTCTTCTGGCTTATAGATTGGCTTCTGCTTAATTGTTCACTAAATTCTACTCATGTGAAACTTCCTTGATCTTCTTCTTTTTCTTCCCTTCTCTTTCTCTTCATCAACATCCTCAACCTTACCTTCCTCATCCTTCTTTTCTTCTTCATCCTCATCATCAGAGATCTCCTTCTTAGTGGTCTTTTCAGCCTAGAGAGAGATAAGCCTTTTTATTTGATTGTGAGCCATACTCCAATTTATATTTGATTCTTTTCATTTAAGAGGGATAAGCCTTTTGGGTTCCTTTCCAAACTGCAAACCCATATGGTTTGCTTCTCTTGGATATAACATCTCATTTCTGAAGCCATATTTTGCTATAATGATTCTCCTCCATAAAGAATTAGTCCTCATTGAGTCACTAGTATCGCCGTCCCAATAGAGAGATCGATGGATAGTGATCAGTTGTAACCAACATTTTAAATTGCCTGAACATATGGTATACTATAAAGCCCAAGAAAAGAGATGGGTTGAGGAGTGAAAATGAACTATCCACAAACTACCACCCAAATGTAGAAGACCGATTTGCCGTGCCAAGGTGGTGGACCTCTCTGTGATAATTATTCTAATTTCACTATAGTTCAGAATACAAAGGGTTTGTCATCTTTCCAATCCTTGATTTTCTTTGTTATGAAAGATTTTCATTAATTGAAGCATGTAACACTTCAATGACAAATCTCTCTAATTAACCTTCCATAATCTTTAATTAACCATAGTCTATCTTAATGTATGTATGATTTTCAATATGCTGGAATAGAAATAAGACTGAAAAGAAATTAAGAGAAAGAGCTTCCTTTACTTGTAGGGAACATAGAGAAAATGGCTGATGTAATATAGTCAAAGCTTTGGCCTAAAATTATAACTTTTAGGTGGCAAACTAAACGTGCATTCGCACGACTCACAACATCAAGGGTCCCACTAAGCTTCTTGATGAAGGGTGATTTGGCCCGACCTAGCGAAAAGGGAACACGTGGACACGACCTGATTAAGAGATGACAGCTCAGCCTGGCAAGATTAGTTCACAACATTTGAGCTCGAGTAATCAATCACCTTGGCACAGGGTCATTTCGATGCAGGGTCACCATGGCGCAAGGTCACCTCAGCGTAGAGTCATCTCGGCATCGAGACACCTCGGCATTAAATCCAGTTCGGAACTAAAAGACTGAAGCATCAGCCTGGGGTTACCGACCCGGACTGCCACGTAACGATCCTGAAAGTCTCTCCAACAGACTCCAAACCTCACGGGATCACACCATGTAACGGCAAGCCTAATCTTCTCCCTGTCCGGATTGGGCAGAATTGATAATCTTTATTAATTGATATGTTACTCCCCAATTAAAGCGGAAATGGATCCCATTAGGACAAAGATCCTGGAATTGATCTGCAAAACCCATGAGGTCTCAACTATATAAAGGCACCAACCCCAATGACACAAGGTACGCGTGATTTTTCTTCTCTCTAGCTCTCTAGCTCTCTATCTCTCAAAGCATCAGAGTGATCTCGCCGGGTTAGCCACCCTAGGTTAGCCACCCCGGGTTCTCTAATCCTCTGTCTTGCAGATTCATCTAGCTCGCTGCTCAACTGGAAGCCAGATCATCCTCAAGCAGGGAGTAGTCAAATCACATTACATCAATTGGCGCCGTCTGTGGGAAATCGATCAAAAATTCATCTTCTTTACAGTCATCAACCTTCTTCTGAATCAATGGCATCTTTTGGTCACGCCGGGCAAAGCAGTGAGATGAACGTCTCTTGGGGACAACCCCAACTCCCTTCAGTGTGCATCGGCCAGTTCACCATCCCGCTTACTGCAGCTGGGGTTTCAATGCTGACCACGCCACCGAGCACCACGCAGGTGAATGCCCCACTCCCCCCGGTGGTAGGCGCAACCTTTGCTGAGCCTTCCGTAGTTTCCCCCAGAGTTGAACAACCCCAGTTTAATGACCTGGTGCAGTGTGTGGGGGCCATGCTGGTCCAAATGCAGCAGGTTTAGCAATTCCAGCAGTACCAGCAGTACTAGCAGCAGCTCCCCCCATTACCGTAGAGCCAGCAACTGGTTCCACCTCGGCACCCAGGGGCTCAGTAGAATTAGAACAGATCTCGTGTGAACCAGGACACCATTCGATCTCCCCACCGAGGCGAAGAGACTTCCCAAGTCCCAGTTCCTCATAGAAGTCAGGTCTCACCCCGCGGGAGGAGAGACGGTCAGATTACTCCACCTGCTTCACAAGGGAACCTCAGAAAAAGGTCCGGGGATACTCAACCCAATAGGGCCAATCTTCCTCGGCTTGCAACAAGAAGATGGGTCGCTTGTAGGTAACCAGTTCGGGGTTCGGGGTGCGAAATCAAGGCAGGGCCTCTCCGTCCATGATAGCCAGCCCCAGAATCCCACGAGGAACCAGGAGCTACCTCGCGGCAGAACGATACCGGAGCATACAAAAATCAGTAGCACCAATGCCGAGCTGGTAAAGAAGCAGCAATAGAGGCGTCATAAGGCATGCCATACTTCAGCTTAGAATAGCTAGTATGGCATGCCATACTTCAGCTCCGTCCATGATAACCATCATCCTCCCCTACTTTTCGGGTCGTCTCCCCTGTCTCCCGAGCTCTTGGTGACCCCGATGCCCAAAGGTTTCAAGATGCCTCCCTTGGACAAGTATGACGGGTCTTTTGACCCTAATGATCATGTGGACTCCTTCCAATCCAAGATGCACCTAGCTGGGGCTGACGAGTCTTGTATGTGTGTGGCCTTCTCCACCACTTTAAGGGGGTAGTTCAGACCTGGTACCAGAACCTCACGCCGGGATCGATCAAGAGTTGGGCGCAGTTCGCAAATTTGTTTACCTCGCACTTCATCACCAGCAAGAAGTGCCCGAGGTCATAGGAGAGCCTCCTCAATGTGGTTCAGAGAGAAGGAGAGTCGATTAGAAGCTACATCAAGCGCTTCAACAACACCTACCTGCAGATCGCTGACTTAGACCCGGCGGTAAGACTCACAGCAACTAAGAAAGGAATAACTCACAAAGAGTATAATGGCATGTGGTGGCCAATAAACCAAAAGACATCACTGAATTCCTCAAGCTAGCTGACTAGTTCATCGGAACCGAAGAGGAAATGAACCAGAAGGTTGACAACCCGGCAGAAAAAAGAAAAAGAGACAGTGACAACACAAGTAGTGATGGGCACAAAAGAAGAAAGAGCAAGGCCCCGAGCAGGGGAGGAAACAAATATGGAAGCCGATCTCCTTCGCGATCTCGCAAGTCAAGTCGGCACTCCAGGACCCCACCTGTTGAAAGGATGAACTACACACCTCTCAACACTAAGTGAGGAGAAATCCTAATGGTCATCAAGGACTCCTCCTTTGTCAAGTGGCCTCCTAGGTTGAGGGGAAATCCTGCAACAAGAAACCAGAATGTATATTGTCATTTCCATAGAGACCACGGGCACAACATGGAGAACTGTAGGAACCTCCACAACGAGATCGGGGAGCTCATCCGCCGTGGGTACTTAAAAAATTTTGTACAGCAAGAAGAAAGAAGTTAGGCAGATCGGCAAGTAGACACGCAGGGAGACTAGAGAAGGAATGCCCTCGTGACCTGCAACAGGTAGAACGAGCAGCCGCCATGGTAGTTTCCCGAGGTGAGACCGATCTGCGGGGTGATCAATTTGATTGTTGGCGGATCCATCATCGGGGGTGTACTTCAGCAGCTGGACAAACCTTAGTCCACGAACTAGAAAACAAAGAGGAGAACCCGCCAAAGAGACCTCGACTTGAAGAACCAATTTACTTCATGGAGGATGATGCGCATGGGATCTAGTATCCTTACGATGACGCTCTAGTGATAAAACTGAGGCTCAACGACTTCGAAGTCAAGCGAATCCTAGTGAACTCGGGTAGCTCAGCAGATATTCTATTCAAGGACACCATCGACAAGTTACAACTCTAGAAAAGTGACTTAAAGCTGACGGACACTCCCCTGGTAGGCTTTAGCGGTGAGGAGGTCAGACCTCTCGGGCGAGTTTTAGTACCCGTAGAGGTTGGCACGTGGCCGAATATCACGAGGTTCGAGCACACGTTTTTGGTGGTCGCGACTCCCTCTCCTTATAATGCCATAGTAGGTCGACCAATTACGCATGTCCTACGTGCAGTAGTATCCCCCTACTATTTGGCAATGAAGTTCTCAACGGACTATGGAGTGGGAGTTGTGCGAGGTGACCAACTCAAATCTTGCAAATGCTACATAGTCACCCTCAAGGGGAAAGCAAAGCTAGAGGCTGATATTGAGCTCGAGCGACCAACAGCGTATGCCGACGAGTGAGCTGCCCCAACAGAGGAGACGGTCCACATCCCGATCTCAGCCAATGACCCGACCAAGACTCTCCAGATCGGTGCTTTGATCGATGAGCCACTTTGCTCTCAATTGGTAAGCTTCTTACTAAAAAATTTAGATATATTTGTCTGATCCGCAACAGAGATGCCCAGAATAGATTCCAAGATTCTAACTCATAAATTAAATACCGATTACTTAGTCAGGCTAGTTATATAGAAAAAGCACAACCTCGCCCCAGAATGCTAGAGGATAGTCGATGAAGAGGTCGGGATGCTCTTA